CTGCAGATTTCTCCTTCCAAGACATCTTGCCAACAAACACGGACAAGAGCATGGTGGGTCTGAGTTTAATTTCACCCAACAATATGTCCTTTGCAACCAAGAAGTACATGAAGAGATACGGGCTGATACAAGGCARTGACAGCAGTGARGATGAGGAGGAGCTGCAGGCTCAAGAGAGCAATTTTGGYACTGTCAAAAGTGAAAGGATACCAGATAAAAACTGTACCCCTGTGTTGGACAGCTTCAGCCACYGGACTGAATTATCCAAAAGAATGGATGGAAGGCTTCCCATTCACCTAAAAGGTCACAGAAGAGAGTTGGTCACTCATGCTTCTCCACCAGAATCAAACAGCCCAGTGTTAMGAAATATTGCAAATGATATTTTTCCTCCCAAAACAGATCAAGCAGATGAAAACTCACTTCARTTCCTAAAGGATTTAAAATCAAAAGCCAGAYTGTTACCTGGGAGGGTTGAATTCACTGAACAACCTGGCAGGAAGGATGAAGGAGAWACTCAGGCCTTCTGTGGAAATGTACAAACTCCAGCTCTTGAAACATTAAACCACTCAAACAGCATAAATTCTGTTGGCACCATTCTTGATGTGAAACAACTCAGRCAATTACCAAAGCTGTTCTGAACATCCCCTGAGATGGCTGCAACCACTGCTTCAAATCAGAGGGACCTCTTTGTGAAAGACTTCAGGAAACCACGGATTGAGCTGTCTTTGAAGAGGTCACTCTGTTGTAGCAATGCACAACTTGCAGAACTGAGTTCTCAGCCCAGCTCAGGGACAGCCACCTCAAAGTGCCTGGCTGAGCAGTGCTGATCAGCATTGACATGTGTGCACTTTTGTTTACAGTTAGGTGTGATTTTAAAGCATATTGAAGGTGAATCAACCTGAGCCCAAGATGTACTCTTAATATAATTTTAACAGTGTAATTTCTTAAGTGCCCTTCTGTTGACTTTTTAAAAACACAAGACTTTTATATGTTTGTGCCAACTGTGAGTCACAGATGCTGTGTGTGGCAGAGCAGGGGTAACAGAGCTAAAGCACTTATTTCTAGAAATTTGCTGAAATGGTTGAWTTGCTGTGTGGGGGTTGTGTCTGTGGGAGAAGGGAAGTATAACTTTGGCTTTATTTTGCATAAAATTATTTTGAATTCAGCCAACATGGCACATGTATCTCTCTGTATCATGAAATCTTTGAAGGAAATGGGGGAAAGTTGTGGCACTTTTAAAACTTTTGTGATTCTTTTTTTTCCCTCTCAATGTTTTCTATTTATTTAAAATTGCATACTGCTTATAAAGGTCAAAGGTTCCATTAAAAAAAAAATTAATCTTCAGTTGTCTGATGCTGCCTTTATTTAAGACACATGTGGCTTCCCAGTCATTGTTAGAATTGTTAATGAAGTTCACTGAAAGGGAAACTTCAAGAATCTGATACTGGGTGAACTCTTCAAGAATCTGATACTGGGTAGTGGGGCAGGCAAAAATAATAGATTTATTCTGTTCTGAATAAACACATAAATATGCTGCCATCAAGCACTACAGTTGTCAGTGAAACAACTCATTTCCATTACCTTGTGATGATAATATTGCACAAGGTGAAGAATTTGGCTGGAAGTGGTGATTCATTCCCCTTCCCACCATTCCTRGTGGTCAAGGCATGTGTTTTCTCACTGGCCTTAGTGCATCAGCATTGGAACAAACTTTGTTTTAGTGATGGCATTGTCTCAACAGCAGTAATCCTGTGGTGCTGACCTTGCCTTTCCTGTTCCAAGTGGTAAATTAGAGATTAAAACACCCTCCACCAAAATCCTGGTCCTTTCTCAGTCAAATCCAAAGGACRACAGGGTTGGTTCATGGTATGTTTRAGTGGGCACTAACTGCTAATTAATTTATTAGAGAATTGGGCTGAGATAAGCCATGTGGCATTTTGAAGCCAGTAGAGAGAGGAAAGCAGCAGCTCCCTTTAAACCGTGTCAGAATTTCTCCTCTCACGCAGCCTCTTCCATCAACAGGGATATTTGCTTCCTTTCAGGAAAGGTGCTACTTTGCTGTGCTGAAAAATAAAACCTTTCTCAGTGTCTGAATCTCCCCTGGATCAGGCATAAGCTTATTATCTGCCAGCACATTTTCTGCTGAATCAGTCAAAAAATAGTTAATGTTTTTGAACATTCCAGTGAGATGAATGAGGCAATTCATACCTCTGAGCTATTGTTGCAGGGTTTTGTTCTTTGTTTCCTATTGTAAAATGTCTGGAAACACAGGAAGATGACAGTTGTATTGGTTAATATTTTAAAGACTTTCTTCAAATGCTCAAGGGCTAGAAACAATTTGAAAACTAAAGCCAAACTACTTGCACAGAGCTCAGGACGAGGGTGTGGTGTTATATTAAGCTACACAAATCATATAATCCTGGACAGCAACCTCCGAGTGAGCAAAATGTTCATTTATTGCTCAAAAGCAAAAAAAAAAAAAATCCCTTCCTTAACCAGCATTTTCCTTTCATAGTGGGGTGCTGAGTAATTTCAAGATGTCTGGATATTTTTTTTCCCCTGA